AATTATGTAGTCTTTTTTAGACTATTGACATTTTAGTTTTTCACAGAGTAGCGATGTTTGGGAACTTTCACTCTGGAAACGATAGTGCCAACTTTTATGGGCAAGTTTTTTGTTGTTTAGTTGTTGTCCTGAACATGTAGAAGTGATGAAGGTGAGGTGAATGTGTGTTCTGGTCAGTGACTATAACCTGACTTTAAGTTATGACTTGGAAATGAATCCATTGAACAGTTCCATTGGAATCGGGAAAACGATGGTCGAGTTCTTCTCCGCAGCAATGGAGCTCAGCGTCTGCAGGTAGCGCAGCTGCAAAGCGGCAGAGTTGCCCGACATCACCTCGGCGGCCTCCTTCAGTGCTCGCGAAGCTCTCTGTTCACCCTCTGCGGCAATGACCTTGGCGCGAGCCTCGCGAGCCGCCTCTGCCTCTGCGGCCATGGCCCGCTGCAGTTGCACAGGCAGACGGACGTCCTTGATCTCCACCCGTTCGACCTTGACGCCCCATGGATCGGTGGCCTCGTCGAGACTGGACTGCATCACATGCGAGATCGACTCTCGTTCGCTGAGAATCTGTGAGAGGTCCTTCGTGCCGAGGACGTTTCGCAGGGTGGTCGCCGCCAGCAGACGAGTTGATCTGCCGTAGTCCTCCACATTGGACACCGCCACGGTGGCGTTGCTGATGCGGAAGTAGACGACGGCGTCCACAGAGACGGTGACCGAGTCGCGAGAGAGAATCTCCTGAGGTGGCACATCAAATGAGACTGTTCGCAGGTCAACTCTGAAAAGAACNAGCAGACGGGTCGATCTGCCGTAGTCCTCCACATTGGACACCGCCACGGTGGCGTTGCTGATGCGGAAGTAGACGACGGCGTCTACAGAGACGGTGACCGAGTCGCGAGAAAGAATCTCCTGAGGTGGCACATCAAATGAGACTGTTCGCAGGTCAACTCTGAAAAGAACGGTGGAGTTTAGAAATGTGTTTATGATAAGTTTGTTCTAATTATTGGCACTCACTTGCAGTAGCTGTCAATGCATGGAATAATGAAAAAGATGCCAGGTCCTTTAGCGCCGCCCTTGACCAGACGACCAAGGCGGAAGATGACGGCTCGCTCGTACTCTTGCACCACCTGTGAGAAAGATTTTTGTTATTAGAAAACTAGTACACACACACACACACTGCTCACCTTGATGCAGAGGAACATCGAGAATGGTAACGNCGTACTCTTGCACCACCTGTGAGAAAGATTTTTGTTATTAGAAAACTAGTACATACACACACACTGCTCACCTTGATGCAGAGGAACATCGAGAATGGTAACGTCACGACAATCAATATCACAGAAATCACCGTTAGGAGGAAGGCACACAGACCGGAGGAGTTGGACCCGCTGGCTAGAAAATCAGAACAAAGAGAAAGAAGAAAAACATAAGTTTTGACAGTTTTTTACACGTGCATATCTTCTTTTGTAATCTAAACACTAATCAACTGAATCAGCTGAAAAAACAGTAGCGTACAAAATATGAAGAATGATAATTGGCAAAGCCGATTTCACAACCGACTGAGCTGACAGAGCAGAAAAACACTGAAAGCAGAGCCGGGTTCTGCTACACACAAACTACAACTACAACTTCTACAGCACAAACCATCAGGGTTGTCAGCGTCAAAGGAAAGAATAGTCTGTCGACCGGTGTCATCTTTTGCCATCTTTGAAGAGGAGGCCTTTTTGACTGCTTCTTCTCTCGTTCTTTCTCTCTTGAAGAAAGAGGCTCGTTAAGAGTTATGAATTATGAGTGGAGCACTGACAGCTTTGCTGCACACACACAGGCTGACACTGTCACGGGGAGAAACAGATCTGTCACCAGAGACGACGATGTTGCTGGAGATGTGTCGAGATTAACGGTTCTGGTAGCGGTGGCACTGAGAAGAAGAACACCAAACTCGAGGGCAATTAGGCGGCAAATGAACGGTGACTGACTGGATTGGCACTTTATTTAAAACAAAGCCTAGTGTCAAAATCAAGTGGTCGATTGCAAGTCTGTGTGTGCACATGTAACAGCACTTGAGCTGTGGTGGCGGACAATGCCGATGGTGACAGGTAGAGCAAGAGAGGATTAGCTGCAATTGTCACACACACTCACTTCAACGACAACGAGTGTGACTCACAGACTGGAGCTGATGGAGATGATGACGAGATGGGGAGATAGGCTACCACCACAAGTCTGATTCACAGCAGTGTGACGGAGATGCTGGAGCGGCGGCAATCGAGTGACTGCTCAGTGATCTCTCTTGCTGTTAAACGAGAGATCTTCCTCGTTCTCTCTTTAACTCACTGCCCGGACCACTGTTGCTCACTGGTCGGCGTTTCCACCAGCTAATCTCATCTCGTTGAGCTTTTTAGTCTGTACATGTGTCACCAGCATCAGCATTACCAGTGCCACAGGCACACGGCGCCCAAATCGCAGAGATCACAACAGAAAGACAACAACAACAACTGCAACAGCAGCAGCAAGTTGAGCCGCACTCCAAACGAGGTTAATTTATTTATATACACCAGTCGTCGATTTATTCAATCTGCTGCTCGGGTGGCGGCAAAAAGCAGCCGCCGTCTTGGTAACGATTAGCGAAAGCGGAGACACACGAGAATGTGCAGCTCTGCTGTTGCTGCTGCAGTCTGTGAACTTTTAAACCTAGGCGCCTAAACGCCGACAGTCAGCAACAATCAGCTGCCGTACACTAGGCGACTTTACTTCACCCCTGCTCCACTCTCAGCGCCTGTGCTGTACTGTACCATTTTCAGCATTTGGCTGGTGTGTGTGTCGATCAATTAACTGTGAAAGCGTTGAACTAATCTGCGAGAGTGTGTGTGCACTTTGGAGCACGAGAAGCAAGCAGGCAAACAACAAAAACCTAGCCAACGAGGTAGTGATTTTTCTCAGTCTGCTCTTTCTCTTGTACACTTTAGCGCCAAATGGAAGAGAGTAAAAAAGAATCAGGCTGTTGATGTCGAATGAAGGCAGCTACGGTACACGNGCTGGTGTGTGTGTCGATCAATTAACTGTGAAAGCGTTGAACTAATCTGCGAGAGTGTGTGTGCACTTTGGAGCACGAGAAGCAAGCAGGCAAACAACAAAAACCTAGCCAACGAGGTAGTGATTTTTCTCAGTCTGCTCTTTCTCTTGTACACTTTAGCGCCAAATGGAAGAGAGTAAAAAAGAATCAGGCTGTTGATGTCGAATGAAGGCAGCTACGGTACACGGTTCGGTACAGTTGGATACAGCTGCAGCGGCACTACCAACAACAACCAACACAACTCGACGCCTTTTTACTAAATAAATAGACCTGGCCAGAGGCAGGCGGCAAGCAGCAGAGGTAATTTCTATTCTGGTCTTGGTGTTGGTGATGGTGATGGAAGGCGTTAGTGCCAGCGCGACCGTAATGTGTGCTTCGGTGCCGTACTGCACCAGCAGCAGNACTCGACGCCTTTTTACTAAATAAATAGACCTGGCCAGAGGCAGGCGGCAGAGGTAATTTCTATTCTGGTCTTGGTGTTGGTGATGGAAGGCGTTAGTGCCAGCGCGACCGTAATGTGTGCTTTGGTGCCGTACTGCACCAGCAGCAANGGTTCGGTACAGTTGGATACAGCTGCAGCGGCACTACCAACAACAACCAACACAACTCGACGCCTTTTTACTAAATAAATAGACCTGGCCAGAGGCAGGCGGCAAGCAGCAGAGGTAATTTCTATTCTGGTCTTGGTGTTGGTGATGGTGATGGAAGGCGTTAGTGCCAGCGCGACCGTAATGTGTGCTTCGGTGCCGTACTGCACCAGCAGCAGCATCATCATCATCAGTAGAGTCAGAGCTGGAGAATTGCTTACACACACAAACTGCTAATGCCAATTACAATGTAGAGGAGATTATATTTACGAGGCTCATTTGCGCAAACCTTGATGTTTATGATCAACAATGACTGATACCGAGCTGAGCTGAGCTGAGCTGAGACAGCCAGCAACATGGGCTCTGTTGTTCTCTTCTCTGGCTACAGGAGATTCAGTGACGCAAATCAGCATCTACAGCAGCAAATCATGGCGCAGTGAGTGAGTGTGTGTGGGTGCTGCAAAGTGAACAGTACAAACACACAAACACACACACACACACACACACAATGCACTGACTAATTGACTATTTGTCGATGGTGCCGGCAACAGGCAACGGCAGCAGTAGATTGATACTCCAGCTTGCCAATAGATTTTCCTTAGCAGACAATCTATCACTTGGTGAATAGGTCGACGCTCGAGACAAAAAGGGCCACTGTTTCCCTGCTGCCAGATGACCGAATGCCGCATCTGTTGCTGCTGCGGTAGCGGCGGCATTCCCTTCTGGAGCTGCAAGAAGAATAGTCGATGAAAAGCCGTCTGTGTTTACGTTTTCCGCCGAAACTCGAGCTCTGATTATTATCATCCTCGATCTACTAGTGTATTAAAGTGCACTGCAAGAAAATGCACTGGCAATGATTCGCAGATCATTCACAGCACTTGCACACAGGCGCACAGATCTTTACGATGCGGAAAATCGTAAGATGAAATTGTAAAAGCAAGCAAAAAGCTCAGCTACTGCTTTTGGCAGAAAGATTCTCTTGTTGCTCTTGTTTGAGTGTCTTACGACGACAGACAGTGTGACACGATGAAAGCCGTGTAATCGGGACAGGCAAAGAGGGAGAAGGAGAACAATACCGCTGACAGTGTCGTAAACGAAGCTTTTCATTGCATTGCATGCCCACTGCCGCTTCAATTGCCCCTCTTTTGAATTAAAAAGAAACAAACAGAATTTCAGACAGTTTCCCTCAAGTTGCCGTTAGATAAGATCGAATTTCCCTAAAAGAAACAAGCACACTTTGCTGTACAGCTCAACTGGGAAGTTCAGCTGAGTTGCTGAGTCGCCCATTTCCCATCTCAGGAACAGGAACCGTAGCATCAGCATCAGCAGCCAATCAACTACCATTGAACGCAGAAGAAGACATTTCAATTAAGCGCACCATTTACGTTACTTGACTGAGCAAGGTCTGCACTGCAATTGCTGCAACTTCTGTTGTTGCTGCTGCTGCTGCGTACATTGCACGCCTGAATCATCAGGGCGTCGAAACAAAGTGAATTGTCACTTGACTATATTTTACGTATTTTTAGACCTTCATCTGTCTACAGAAGGGAGAAAATGAGAGAGGAAGAGAATAGCGGGCAAATGATCAGATGGCTAATTTTAGTAGAGCACATAGCTATTGCACAACTAACACTCATCGCGCTCTTTCTGGAACATCTCTTTTTTCGCATAAAGAACTGACAACAAAGGCAGTGATCATGATGATCCACTGTTGTGCAACAACAATAGTTTGCTCTTTTGTGTGTTTTGTAAAAGTAAAAGTACTAATAAAAGG